TAAATAGGGGAACTTGTCGGCCAATACATTGGTTTCGCAGACTAAACGGATGTCATAACTTTCTCTAGTTTATTTGAGCGAGCCTCACCCTCAACTCTTGTGTTCATCCTTCGGGATAGAAACAAGATTTGAGGTAAAGCGCTCTTTCATCTAAACTATGAAAATTATGGGGTCAGTTTGACTTCATCTTTTTCAAAACTAAAATTTTTTAAAAAAACGTCTTTCCGAAGCGGGCAACGAGATTTCAATTCCGACGACCGACAACTTCTTAAGGGAAAACCCCACACCAAAAATAGTGCCGACAGGTGACAGGCTAGATTATTAGCAATTTGACTTGAGGTTTTGTACCTTAACACCAGGATTTGGCCAATATAGTAGCATATGCTGTGGGACTCTAGTGGTGAGAGGCTAGACAGTTTTGAAGAGGTAATCAGGATGTTAAGGAATCGAATTTAAGTTAGCCAATATTCTATATGCACTTGGAAGAGAGTAAAAAATATGTATGCTCCTATTTGTCATTGCCTACATTAAATTCTAAGCATTCCATTCATTCAGATTATCTAGGTGGTCGGCTTGAAAGGTAGTTTTTATAATATCAAAATTACATAACGAATTTATCTAGATAGGTTTATCTTTAGACTTATGTTTGTATTTAGGAGTAGTTGATAGAAAAATATCCTTAATCATCATTCTAAACATAAGCCAAATAGTAGTATATTAGAATTAGCCTGAGAGATTCTTACATCGTTTCTCTGTGGGATCGACACTTTGGTCTTAAAAGAAAACCTAATACTACTTGAAATAATACATATACTTGCATAGAACTCTAGTGTATAAAATATGAATCAATTCTAAATTCTATAACATTTCCATTTTGCATTAGCTGCCTATGGAAACTGAGTTAAGATTTTGGTCATGGAATTAAATATCTGCATAATTGCGGGTCAGTTCAAGTATTTGGTGTCATCGTCGGAGATTGAAATTGAAGTAATTATACATGTATGCAAGCGCACATTCAAGGGGGCAACAATTTTTTGCTCCATTGCTGAGATCGATCCCGGGTCATCCGCTTGACAGACGGGCATACTCACCACTTAATTTTCATCAGTTACTCCAAAGATTTGGACTGCTTTTCATGTTGTGGATATCTTTTTTTTGAGAAGAAGAGTTCTTAGAACCGTTTTCCTAAGAGAAAAATGAAACAATATAACAAAATTTATCGGATAATTTTTTAACTTGGTTTTCTACCATATTAAAAGATGAGGAGAAAAAATTATACTGGAAATCATTTTGAAATTTTGGAGATGCAAGGAATTAAATACCAAATAAATTACCTTATTATTTGCTTTAGAAATTTTAAAAAGTAAAATAATAAAGAGAAGATCTTTCTAATTAAAGTTGATTTGAATTTAAACATAATTTTGGAGTGAACTTTATCATGATTTGAGGGATTGAATCAAGCAAACATTTAGTTAACACACACTTAAATATTCCTATCATATTAAATATTAAATGTTGTAATAAATAATAAAATGTTGTAATAAATAATAAATTCAATCATGTAACAATTTGTGATAGAGAATAATGTAATTTAATGTATTAAATTTGCACACAGAACTTCATGTAGGAAATTTTAAAATAAGACTGATTTTTAACAAGCCAAATAAAATGGATAAAAGAAATATTTATAAATTAATTAATTTACGAGTTTATTAATTTCAGGTTATGATATAGATGTTCTAAGACAGATCAAGTCTAACTGACATTTCTGAAGCTTGATTATACTTAACTTGATATATCTAAACTAAGTGTGTTCCTAAAGCACTTGAACAAAATATGAAAGCATCCAATCATATGATTGTTATCATCAAAATCAAATGTTGAGTCATGGGGCTCGTGAGGCTAACAAGCACCATAAAAAAAACTTTCAAATTATGTTTGTCATCATAAAAATGATGAATGTTTTTACTTCATTTGCTTGAAAGCTTAATTTACACTTGAAGATAACAAACATATCATTGAAATATTAATGAATTTATGACACATGATCTAATTTTGATTATTGGAGGCTAGTATATATGAATCATCAATAAGTAGTATTAATGCACTTGAAGTAATTCAAATTAAGCACACAAAAAGGCCAAGATAACACCAAAAAAATAACGTGAAATTTTTGTTTCATTTTGTAATAAATTTAAAAAATGAGAATGGTTAAGCCTCGTATGAACTAAAGTTAGGTGAACATATTACAAAACATAAGCTCTTTTAAAGATTAAAAAATATATATTAAATCATAGATTTGATCGCAATCCGAATTATAATCCTTATTATACATATAATCTTAATTATACCTATAATTATACTCTCAATTGTATAGATGATACATGAAATGCTCTTCTTGATATTATCACTAGAAATATAATCATTATGCAAAATTTTCACATTATTTTAAAAGTCAATTTGACTATTTTCTCAACTATAATCATATATATATAATCAAATTATTATAAATATGATTAGGTATAATTCTAGAAAAAAATCAAACAAATTGTACTTATAATCATCAACCATATTCATAATCATTTAAGGAATTCATGTGGCTTAATGAATATGTTGACTATTATTTCGTAACTTATAATGGCAATGATGTGCTTTAAATTTTATTTTATCTTTATATGACTATAATTACTCTTTGAAATCAAAAGTAATGAAAATTATTTATTTCAACTTGAATGCTTCTTGCACATAAGCTATTGATCTTTTTATCAAAAGTTATAAGATTGCACATGCAATTTTTAATTTTTAGTTTTTAAAATTTAGAACAAAATACAAAATTCTCTTTAACTAAGTTGTTGAGTCCTAACTATTGATTATAGAACTCTAAAAGGAAGTTTTAGGTTTCACTTCATAATAAATTAAAGATCATAGGAGGGTCTTACTACAAGCTATTAACAAAGAAAGGATAATGGAACTTTTAAGGAGATCTCAATAAGTGGGTGAGGCCGATTATGATTGAACCATAAGTTAGCTTGACATAACCACTTTTACATTTTTAAAATTTAATTTCTTGCAAATATTGTCATACTTTCTTTATAGCAAAGTTTGTTTAATGTTGATTCCTAAATACTCACACTAACAATGACATGGAGTTTTCAATGTCTTAATAAAATCTTAAGAAACTTCATTCACTCCCTCTTAGTCATGTTATACTCTTTACAATTAAGCCATATAATGTTTAGTTGCTAACTCTAAGTAATAACATTATAAGTGGGTCCAAATTATTTGCTTTATTATGAGATGATAATCTAAATACAATAGCTTATAGGAGAGACTATCTTAGATAGCATGTGAGCGAATTGGCCTTAATCTGTTCCATTACGATGGTGCTAGCTTGATAGAAATTGAAGAAAAGGCACACATTGAAAAGAAATATGGCTTCAAGTAATAAAAGAGATGGCATAAGCTCACATAATAGATGGTACTAGCTCACAATAAGATAGTGAGGACCAACATGAGAATTTATGGGCCTTGACCCACTAGTTCTGGGTGGTTCTAACCTAGTGAAATCTGATTAAATGATGTCACAAACAAATAGTAAAGATATTGCAAACTTTTAGAGTAGTTGATGAGACTTGATAACACCAGCCAAGTGCCAATGGAATTTAATTAGCTTAGGAAAACTTTTATAGCCATGAAAATATTCAAAATTAACTCTTTCAGATCCAAATGTGAAGCCAATTTGGCTTAAGCTTGTTTAGATTGAAGTTTTGACTATAGGGTGGTTTATGAGCTTTTTGTAAAGCTAGATTGGCTAGATTAAGGTTTCTAAATTATTCTTAGAGGACTTACTAGTCCTACAAGAATGATCATTCAAGGCCTAAAATGAGAAGCCATGAAACTTGCGTGCACAAAACTAACATCCAAGTTAGGAAGCCTCACATTGCTCAAAACTAACATCCTAATAGACTTTATTAATAGAAATTTAATAATTGTGCAAAATTATTTGATATTACATTCTATATAAAATTCACTTAAAATTTTAGTATAATATATACTTCTATAATTTTATTGATTGTGCTGATATTAGCTTTTCTTAAATTGACTTTTTTAATCTTCCAAAAGGAAAAAAAATTGAAAGATTGATCATACATTAAAAAATTAGATGAAGTACATATAAGTACTTAGCAGAAATGTCTTAAATGAAATTTTTTTTCCATTTTCCTAATGTTCACAGGATTTTACTAAGGGACTATTTGTTTAGGTGTAATTGTAGGGTCAAGTGGAGGAAGTGTTGAGGGTTTTTAAAATTTTGTTCTTTAGTTGGATGAAATGACAATGCACAATAAATTGCTTCACCCACACACAATCGGCCTCACCACACAACCAACAGCCCTCTGATTTCACCGCTTGCCCGTCGTCGTCGCCCATCACCTCCCATCGCCATCCTCGCTCGCTGACCGCCACCCATTGATCGCAGCCTCTCGCCTATGGTATATTGTCAATTACTATTGACCCAAGCAGACGTACTTTACATTGATTTTTTCCTCAAACCTAATAAACAAATAAATAATACTACATTTATTCTATTCGAATCGAACAACTTTAAAATATTTGGAATGCACTACATTATTGGGATAATTATATACAGAGCACAAAAATTAACAACCTAGGTAATATTTTGGAGCCACCAAACTGATGGATTTACATGTGTCATGATCAAACTATTGAGAGTTTGATAAAATTGAAAAACATGGGTTGATTTTTACCATGATTTTTTATTTTTGAGTAAGAATTTGAAATTTTGGATGAAAGAGAGTAGTTGATTTGTAAATAGCTAGTTTCAGGTGGTCTGTGTGTTTGCCCCTACTTATATATTTATCCATAGTATTATTACAAAAGAAGCTATGCTAAATTGAGAGTGGATTGAGAGGGAGAAGGTGAAGAAGACAATGCCTTTGGGAAAATATTACTGCGATTACTGCGACAAACAGTTTCAGGACACACCAGCAGCCAGGAAGCGCCACCTCTCCGGCGTCCAGCACCAGCGCAATCGCACCCTCTGGTACGACTCTGTCAAAGGTAACCATTTCGATATAGTGTAAACTCAACTTGTTCTCCCTCTTTTGAAAATCACAATCGGTTGGATTATAATCGGGTAAACTTTTTTTTGGGTTTGGATTTTACCAGAGACACAGTGGGGCTCTCTTCTTCATCACGATGCGATTCTAGATAAGGGAGTCTGCCACCATTTTGTCCGCTTGGTAAGGATCTGAAATTTTCTCCATTGGATTCTAAAACTGAGATTTTGAAGTACGTGGAAACCCTAGTATGTCGAACTGTCATTTGCCGATAGGCAAACAGGCGTAGTGGATTGACCCTGGTTGGTGTTGGCGAATTCTCAGCATTCTGCTTTGTGTTTTGGTTGGAGAATTAGTCAGTGTCATGAGCTTGCATGAATATACCTTCTCTTGCAAAGCATAATTTTCTTAAGTTTAGGTGATCTTCCATGATCATCTAGAGCCCCTTGATTGATTTCTTCATTATTGCCTATCACTTTATTACATTTATACATGCACACAGTCTAATTTTATTCATACTAAACTTTACTTCAGCATGTCACTGCATTTTAAACAGAGAATCATGAAGAGAAATATGCCTATATTCTAATTTTCCTTGTAGATTGATTTCTTGTCGATTACACCTAAAGCAAATTATGAAGATATAATTATGGTCAAACAATATTTTTTTCAACTTAATTCCACCAAACAAAACTCGGCCAAAAGGATAACATCCATATAAGGGAAAAAGAAGAAGAAGAGATGAACAAGAATAAGGCAACTTAGATCCAATGACTCAAGTGGAGAAGATTTGCTACCCTTTAACTCCCATGGTAAGGTTAGATGTGGCTGCCGGAGAAGTTACTAGCCATCCAGACATGCCACATTTTAGGAAATAAAGAGACATTTCATAGTAGCTATGTTGAGCAAATGACTAAAATCAAAATCATCATCATTAAGATCGCCCACAAAACTCTTTACTCATAAAAATGGTAAATCACAACAAACTACTAGATGTTATCTTCACACCAATAATATATTATTGGTATGAACATAACATGCATATTTTTTTTATTTTTTTTTAAAGGTCGATCGCTGATCAACCCCATAGTCTGACCGAAGGGCGGACCCCATTCCAGAAAGATGTGCAATTCAATCCTACGCAGGGATCGAACCCCCGATTCGAGGGACTTACACCAAAGACCGCAACCAATGAGCCAGGCTAAGGCTCGAACACAACACACACACACACACACACACACACACATTATAAAACATGAAAACTACAGCAAGGAAAGTAAACAACCATACCTTGCATTTCATCTCCTTTTAGAGAGAGAGATATATATATCTATGTGTATATATATATATATATATTTGGCAGAAGTGATCGGTCTTCTGAAAGAAAAAGAAAGAAGGAGATTACTCTGCATTTGATATTAGGAACTAGTGGACGTGTCAAATAGTTTGTACGTATTTCTTCCATAGACCTCTTTCGTGTATTAATATCTTTCGATTTAGCCAATGCCACAACACATATGGGCTCTAATATTTGTGAAAAAGATGGATAGATTCAAATCCTTACAACTCTCAAATAATCATGGTTATTGCTACTTTAATAAAGAGATAGACAAATATTATCCCTTGAATTCCGTCATAAAGAAAGAGAAAGGGCCTTATCGGTGCTTTATCGGTGCTTTCACATCTCAAACACTTAAAAAAATAATAACATAGATTGTGTAAGGATATTAGGCTCGTATTTGAGGTCTCATCATTCTTTGATTTAATATAAAAGCTTCACATAAATTCATCCCTTTTAAATCACCCCCAGCTTAACAATGTCTGGAACAAAACAAGTAAGCCTCTTAATAGGGAGGAAAATCAACTTCGCTAAAGCCTGAAAGCCAACAACCTAATATCTTAAACTCAATTTCTAGATTTATAAAATAAAATTTTCAATCAATTAAAACCCTCATTAGTTGTTTATGCATTGAATGCAAATTCCTAATTTATAACAACATTGAATGCCAAATTTCAACAAATTCTTATGTATATATCAACAACTAACTATTGATGCAGATTTTTAATGGATGTTCTATCCTTCATAAATTTCTTCACTAAATAAAAGCATGTTAAACCAAATAAAGCTATGAATAAATGACACCATAAAATTTTAGTAGATATAATTCAAGTGTTTGTAGAAATAACGACAAATCAAAAAATCACGAGTAAACAAATAAATTACACTGCTGAAATTTTTCATATCATAAATAAGTCATAAATCTTGGCAGCCATGCCAATAATTTTTTTTTTAATTAGTAATAAAAAAATGATAACTACTTTTGACATTTTTTTGACATTTTAGATCTAATAGAAATATTCAACGCGATTGACGCCTCTGAGAGATCACTTGTAATTTAAAAAGTAATTAAATGTCATCTCTTAAATAAAAAAATCACAATAATAAAAATCAGTACTTATACTCGCTTATAAATTGGTTACAATATTATCTCGTATAATTTCTTCTTAAATTCATTCACTAATTGTTGCATGCATGTTAGGGTCTTCTCCGTTGACCTCAATCTCACTTAATTGACTATTATGCTGCATCTTAGTTTGAGACATATTAAAATAGAAACCGTTCTCGTGATAATGCCCAACAAAATTGTGCAAATATGCACAAGTAATCACAATGTCTATTTCTATCTTATGAATAGAAATAGTTTGTGGTGGATTAATAATGCACAGAAAATGATAAAAAAATAAGAAATTAAAAATTAATTTTAATGTAAAAGCTGGAGAATTAAGGAAAAAATATAAGGTGACTCGTAAGGAGTATGAGAATAATTTATAATGTTAAAAATTTTACTTTTAATAGTTTTTATAATAGATTAAATATTAAAAAGAGTTAAAGATTTATGTATAAACTGGTCAAATAAAGAGATAAGAAAAATAAAAAATGTAGTTCAACTGTATTAAGGATAAAAATAAAAAAGTATTTTCCTAGATGACAATATTCAACATAAGTATGTGAGATATTTTGATAAACTTTTCAATGAAAATTATGAAAACAATCAATTTTAGTGATCTTAATAGCGTAAATATAAAATACAAATTTTTATATTCAACGCCGCATTAGCAAAACAAATGTTGAGGCTTTAAAGAAAATGAAGTGTACAAAAGTAGTTGAACCTGATAATATTCTAATAGAAGTGTAGAAATACTCAAGCGATTAGAGAATTTCTTGGCTACTTAAATTTTGTAATTTTATTTTATAAAAATGATGTCTAATGAATAGACTAAGAATATATTAGTTTATATATTTAAGACTAAAAGAGTTGGACAAGAGTATGCAAATTATAGAATAATTGAGTTAATGTGTCCTACATTAAAATTATGGGAGAGAGCTATCAAACATTGGTTACGACGTGATACAAATATTTCTTAAAATCAGGTTGGATTCTTCCCGGGCAAATTTACTATAGAAGCTATACATTTATAGAGAGATTTGATGAAAAATATATAGAGAATGGAGGATCTTTATATGATTTTTTGTTGATTTAGAAAAAAATTATGATAAAATTCCAAGAAAAATAATTTTTGGTGTTTTAGAAAAGAAAGATGTTGATATTACTTATATTCAAGCGATTAAAGATATGTCTACTAGAATTGTTACTTGTGTTCAACACAAGGAGGATTGACCAATTATTTCCTATTTCAGTTGGATTAAATCAGGGATCAACTTTATGCCTTTTTCTTTTTTTTGCTTTAGTTATGGATGTTCTTACTGGACATTTATTGACTTTCATTTGAGTATATCTAAAATAAAATACTTGGAATGTAATTTTAGTAAATATTAGATCTAGTGGCGGGATTGTAACAATGGGTGATCAAGTCATTAAAAAGAGTGAACGTTTTTGATACCTTGGGTCTATTGTTCAAATTGATTGTGATATAGATGGGGATATTATTACTAGAATTCATGTTGGAAGGTTGAGGTGGAGGAATGCATCAAGTCTATTGTGTGATAGAAAAGTACCACTTAGACTTAAAGGTAAGTTTTAAAAGATGGTGGTGAGACCTGGAATGTTTTATGGATTAAAATATTGGCTTGTAAAAGAGAAGCATAAAATTAAGTTAAGTTGCTGAGATGAGAATGCTCATGTGGATGAGTTGTTTTACATTTGGAGACAAAAAATGTGAAAAAAATCTATCTGTGAGAGGGTTAGAGTAGCTCCAGTGACATACTAGATTAGAGTGAGTCGTCTTAGATTGTTTGGTTACTTTAAACGTGGATCATCTGATGGCCCAATTAGGAGAGTAAATGTTGTAGATTTGATTTATGCTAAGAAAGGTAGAGATAGACCTAACGATACTTGGGCAAGTTGTATAAAAAATAATCTTAATTTATTAGAATTAAATGAAAATATGATACTGAATAGGACACAGTGGAGAAAAAGGATTCATGTGGTTGATCCTACTTAGTGGGATAAAGGCTCGTTGATGTTGTTGTTGCTGCTTTTTCTATTGAAAATTTTGACTGCTGAATTTGAGACCAATCTACTTCCAATGAAGGAGGCCATTATATTGTTGTTTTGATTCCCTTTCGAATGCTAGGCTGAATATATGAATTAAAAGTATCATCGAGTTATAATATTCATATATGAGAGGAGGATCAGTTTTTTTGCTAGTTTCAGAAATATGATGGCATGAAAATAATGCTGTTTTGACAGCTTCATGTATATAGCAGCATTTACATTAAAAATTGTGATATTATGATCCAGATACATTCATTATACATTCATTCACGAGTATTTAAGATGGGTGTTCATCTAATAAGATGTAATACAGTTTTAATTTAGCTGATAGTATTCTTAATCTCTCTATTGTATCCATGGCACTCTTGTATTAAACGCAAATATGAAATCAATTTTATCTTTTTTTATTTTTTCAGCTTACACTACATTTTGAAACAACAAAGATAACGGCAACTTGAATCTGAGCATACTAAATTTATGCGGGAAGACTAAGTTGAACCATAAGAAACATCAATCTGCTCGTTCTTTTTGTATTCACTAAAACTCATGTGTCATGATGTGTGGGGATATGAAGTCCTGTCACCTAACTTATTAACTCAAATTATTGCGGCCACAATAGCTTAAGTAAATGAAAGTGAAAAATAATTGAAAGATTATAGAAGGAAACTTTCTTTCTAATTAAGAAAGACATTTGGAAAATCTAGTAATATCCGAAGTAATATTATTATAACTGCTACACATTTAGTAAAGCTTAAAAAAATATTTAATAAATTGCTTCCACACGTTATGAAGCTAATATAAACTTTAATTTCTTTGAACTGAAGGCGAACTTTCACAGCACATCCATACAATATCAAATGTATAGTGCAGAGAGCATCATTTATAATAAGAACAAGTAAGTTAGCAACAGAAATTGACCCAGAGAAGCATAAATATAACAATGAATGAAAACTCCCTCTCTGAGGCACTGCTTATCTGAATAGCTAAGCTGTAATATAATTTCAGTAATCCAAGGTTCTCATCATTATAGACATAAGCTACAAAAGAAGTAATCTTTAAAAAGGGTGATAAGATTCTGCCGTATTTACATAATCCAAATTCTATCGATAGAAAAAATCACAATACTACACAAAATCTTCCATTTCCTCTGCCACACAAAAAATCCGAAGCACTTGTTGTCAGCAAACTCAAAAAAATCCATTGCCAGTAAAGAAACATAGAAAAAACTTCATTCAGAAAGGTGTGAAGAGGGAGAAGGAATGGTACCTTGGAGGAACGTAAGAGACAGATTTGGGTAGGATAAAGCTGGGATTCAGAGGTAGGTGGTGCTCGCCAGTGAATGTGAACTGGAAGGAGATGGATGAGGTTTTATTACAAGAGGAAAAGGGGGTTTTTAGTGGGACTGATGACTCTCATGTCACTGAATCACTACAGCATACCACCAACTGTGAGATACTACTTTGGCATGTTGCGGATACCACGACTTTCAGTAGATTTGCAATCCATGAATCAATTGATATGAAGTAGAGCCTATCTTTTTTCGCAAAATGCTTCTATGAGAAAATACAATGTTGCTCAAAGAAGCAATGATGAATTCAGACGAGATCATGTGTCTTGCCATCACAGAACAAAAACGAGAAAAAAGAGGAACTGCTAACCTTATTATAATGACGAAATATTGCACAGCAAGATGAACAACCCTGGTGAAGATATCTTGTTGGCCTGCTCCTATAAATAGGGTTTTCTTGAAAATTAAAATAGGGTTTCCGGGTAGAGTGCAACGAGGCTAGCGACACCAGGCACCACAGGAGACTTTTTCCCTCTTTACTTGAATGCTTTAAATCCGCTGATTCACTGGATTTAGTAAATCCGAGATTTACACCGAAATGGAGCCAAATCTGAATTTAAAGGCATGTTGGATTTAACTTCTTTTTTTTTTGTTTGGTTGGATTTACTGTAAATCTGAGGATAAATCTTATTAAAATGCGTCTACCAACCAACCCCTTAGTATGATTGTAAAATCTATAATAATTTTAAAATAAATACAAGAATGATAGTTTATCCCTTTTACAAACAATGGACACTAATCCGGACATGTTTACCAACGAGCACTTGTGATATGCTCCCAGGTTCCCAATTTCTTGGTCATATATTCAAGCTCTAGCATCACCCTCTTTTAAGGTAATTGTATGGCAAATTTTTTGTTTCCCTTTCTGCATGGAGTTCATGCGCTATAACTTATCATTATTTAAAATTTATATGATAGATTTGTATCCCCTGAAAAATAAATTCCTTGCATTTCAGAAATTACCTTATGCATTCTTAGGTTTCTTTAAATCCTTAATTTATCACTAGAGTTTATTGTGAAATCAGGGTATTGCTTCTCATGTAATCGCCACTTTATATGCGAGAGTTATATTACAAAGTCTAGCAGCTAGCTTGAATTAGTGTATGTTCAAGTAGTAACATCAGGATTTTAACATGCTCAAACATGTAGGCCAAATTTAAAAAAAAATGAAAAGGTTTTTTTGTCCTTGTTGGAAAAATAAGGTAAACTATTCTCCTTTATTATATTGTTTTAAAACTATTTTAATAAGTAAAGATCAAAGTGTAGAAAGTTTAATACAAATAACCTAAATGTGAAAAACATATTTAAAAGCAAATATGATTGATTTGGTTGTATTTACTGTGCATTGAGTTTGTGAATAAAATGAATCATAAAGTAACATAAAAATTTTTCAGGCCCAATACAAAATATTAACTGAGCATTGAATCCTTTAGATTGAGTTTTCACCAATCCCAAACAATTCAAATGAGGACATGTATCTTGCAGAGCATCTCTATCTTCGTTTACAACTTGTGGCTCGCAATCTTTGTTTTATTTGATTGAATCATATTTTTTTCTTTGGCACTGTTTACAAAGTAAGCTCTAAGCCTTCTTTTTTTGTTCAAATTAATTTTCTTACCCAGTTTTGCTTATTAGATCATGACTTGAGGATTTCCGTCATGGGATGGGCTGTGCACTAACGTTGTTTTTCTGCATGTGTTATAAAGAATGACGCCTTTTAGTTATTTCCTACATATAGGGGTGCCTTGTTTATGGGTTTTATTACTAGATACCTATTGGTGCATAGTTTAGATTCATCACGTATCTTGATTGAAGTATTTTCATTGTTATAGGGAAGCTGCAAATATGGGGATACATGCAAATACTATCATCCTACTCAAAATGTGACAAATGCAACTCAGGTTGCGACAGGTATGTATTTATAGAAACCCTTTGTTTTGCTTGATTACACAAAGTTTTTTTGCTACTCAAATAAAGCAAGCTTATCCATGCCATTTGAATCTCAGTTTTCATTGAACACTTTTCAAAGCTAACAATCATTTTGATTTTAGTAGATAATAAATTGTTCTTAGTCTTTTCAAGAATTTCATCGTATTTGTTTGATATCTCTATCTATTTATATAATATTCGTAAATTCACAAATGATAGTTATGTGACTTCTATGATTTAGTAAGCACATCTATTGATTAGATTATGTCTAGCTGAATAGCCTGACTATCTGCATAAGGGTTAATATTAAAAAAATAATGGAGGCATTGGAAGGGAATAGATATGAAGAGTGAGAGATGCACCGTGCTTCACCTAAAAGTTCAATTGAAGCAGTAGAGCTCAAAAATTGCTAGCACACATTTTAATTATATGATATATTAAAAAAAAATGTAACATTCCCTTTATCTGAAATATTTTTATCTACAATCATGATTTGATTTTATTTAATGCTTCATCATTCATGACCATTGATATTAAATTTCTTAATGATGGTTCAATTTTAACAGAAAAAGGGTGTACCCAATTCTTGAAACTCCCACAAATATGTAGTGTAAATAGGGATTCGCTTTAGACCTTAAATGTTTTGCTTGTGATGAGACATTGGAAGAGTGAAACTCCATTGAAGGTGGCTCTGCACAAGTATAGAATGATGGAAACTATGCTTGCAAAGGAGTTTAGTAGAATTTTTGTTGGCGTGATACTGTAATATTTCAAGATGTTGACCAATACTTGGCACAGAGGAAAGCGAAGACTACGATGGAACTAGTCGTCATAGCAGCACAACTAATCATCCAGTAGTGTGTTCGAGTAATTGCCCTCATTTGGAGCCCGAACTAAGAATGAGTTGTTAAACAGATAAATTAATTGGATGAACTTCATATTGTTGACCTCATTTTTAGTGAGGTTTAGTC